ATTCTTATTAGCTAAGTAAAATCGAAGAAATAGTCGAACTAATTAAAGTATAGAATAGTGTGGTGTAGAAGACACCTCTGCAAATATTCTAAAAGTTACACATAAAAATCGCTGTTATACAATATTTAGTACTATAGTTTATAGTTGCACTTAACAAAAAACAAAAGAACAAAAAATAAATAGGATCAACGTAGCTGTGACACAAAGTGATGGGAGATAACCGACGTAATTTCTAATTATAAATCACTCGATAACGTTAGAGGATTGTTAAAGTTAATTGCCGTTACGTGAACAAGTAATTCATATTATTCAAGCGAAGATGGATACATTTGCCTACCAGGTCGTTTAAAACTAGACGATTCTACTTAAACGAACCATTGTCATTAAATATTTTAAGCGGAGAATTTAATCTTAGACGCACGAATTACAATCCACCGGAAATAAATCAAACATAGTTTTTAATTCGATCATCGTGCATCATCGTACATGAATCGCAATTAAGGGATTACGTTTAAGTACCACTGTAAGGACTGAAAGTAAATTACGAGAAGCATTAATTAAGTGACAAAAAAAAAAAAAGGAGAAAAAAAAACAAAAACAAAAATGTATCGTAAGTGCTACTTGAAAATTTAAATTAATGTATTCAATAATTAGTTTCTAGAGAATATACAAATTAGAACGTTTGGCATCTACCGGGCAAAGTCTGTTTCACGCGGTGCGTTAATTCTTTGCGATGTTACATTTGTCCGGTGAACAAATAAATTCGCGCGTAACAATTAATACGAACAATAGATGTTTTTGGAGACACTTTCAAGTTTCGTGATAAAGTTGGGATAGTTGAGGACCGTCTCTCTTAATTTCTCACATTCTTTGGAGAAATAAGTGACGATTAAATGTCGATAATTTGCAAGGGAATGTCGCGGAGTGAAACAGATTTGACGAGATAGCCATTCGTGTATTATAGTACGTACTGTATGAGAACTGAATGCATATACCACGGTCCGCTTAAAATATTTTTAATTCTGATATCTGAATGTATCGTTTCTGTTTTTATGCGTATACAATTTCTAAGGTTCGGTCTCCTCGATCGTCGACTTTGGACAGTAGCCGCGAAGTGAATTTATTATTAAAACTGTTGCTGACACGTTCTTCTTGCGAAATATTGAAAGAGATTTCTAAAACGAAGAGGAGGAAGAAAATCGAAAAGGAACTGCTCTATGTTTGTCGTATGTAGATGCGTACACCTTTTAAGCTGTACATTCTATATTTGAAAATAGTTTTCGCTCGACGATTGATTTATTCGCAGTTTTATACTTAAATGTACGCGTGTACGTATTGCACGTGTTCGCAGTAAATTGAACAATATTTTTCAAAACGTTGTGCACCGGAAATGTTTGTACATTTCAAATGGTAAATTATTCTCTGGAATACATTAAGGAGTTCGTCGTTCTTCAATAACGCTTTTGGTATACCGTTGAATAATTTTTCAGTTAGGAAAGAGAGATGTACTTCCTATATATATATATATATTATTTATTACCAGACTGCGGATCTTTATGCAAAATAAAATCTTTCCGTATCTACAAAAACTGAACCCAGACAGGAATTTATTTTACTATGCGAGTATTACGATATGAACTTTTCTGTCGATATTTTTTTTTTAATATTAATTCATACCGCGCGCATTTAGTAGTTTCTTGCACGTTCAAATTTCCTATTGATTCATAGAAATCCGCAGTCCACTCATTATTGTGTACGAGGTACGTACAAGTGTACGATATTTTGAAAAGTAATTCTTATTTTTAGAATCAAACATTCACTATATACATACATACATACATACATACATACATACATACATACATATATATATGTGTATATATATATGTACACATATGTAAATGCATAATATTCGATATTTTTGTTAATCGATCTGTGATTTTCATTTCGTTGTATGTACATAAGGTGGAAGTTCTAATTTGATATAGGCTGTGTTATTTTTATTGTTGTACTCAGGATATTTGAATATCTGGAGGCTGTCGGTTTACGCAGACCGTGTAGCTCAATATGTAGCGGATATTAGAGAAAAATCTTCGTAGGGGAGTTCGATGATAGCGCGTTGTCTCCTTTCCAACTATTCTAATCTAAGAACGTAACGATTCAAAGTTTTGAGAGAAGTACATTTTATGGAGAGCAAAGTATACTTAGAATCTACTTTAGTAACGAATTTACCGAGAAAAAGAAAATTACAAAAAAAGAAAAGAAAAGAAAGAAAGGATGAAGAAGCAGACGAATGATCTAAACATAATACACATACATAGGATGTAATACGTATTCAAGGCTCGCACGCGGAGGCGCGTACGCGTCTGTTTAAAGTTCGTAGAACACAGACGAAATTTCTCAACGCTAAGGGGTTCGCTCTCGATACAGAGTACAGAAACTTATTGCCTTTTACGACTTAAGTGCGACGTAAGGGTCGCATATAATCTCATTTAGAAGTAAAGAGAAACATTATCGACTACTCGATCGTAGAAGTAGCTGCCAAAACACATGTGAGAGTTATAATTTTACGATCATGATTTCTCTTCGAAATCTCTTCTTTATTACTCCTCGTAATAATTCTCTATACATTACACAGATAAAATACGTGTACAATATTTTGTCTCTCGATTGTCATCCGGAGAAAGAGAGGATTAAAATGGATTCCAAAACTTTGGGAGTTTATTGCTTTATTAATTCATTCGCGTACATGAGTTTGATACGTTTGCTTAGACAGTCTTGCAGAGGAGTTCTCCAAACGTTTTACGTTCGCAACGATTCCGAGCTTCGAGGAAAATTGCATAGACGAATTATTCGCCGTGTTGTGTGTTCGATTACTTTTAAACGCAGGGGACGAGAAGTCTGGGTACGGACGAAGAATGAATTTTCATTTTCTTTCGAGATACATTTGTATTCATATTAGGTTGTTCCAAAAGTGTCTTTCGTAATTTACACTCAATTATTTTGCGCAGTAGTGTTTGTACAAATAGACAATCTAATTTCTTAGATGTTGATGTTGTAACAGTAATGGAGCAAAATGAATCGTACACAATTCAATAATGTAACATTGGATATAAAATATTGTGTATGTATCACTTATTAATAAAACGAAAGAAACTTTTGGGACAACCTAATACTATTCATTTAAAATAAATACGACGAATCTGAAGTAGCTCTACATTTTAATCTATTTATTCTCACTACTATTTAAGTAACTTAGATCCTACTAAACTGTTTCAACAATTAAATATTAAATTGACGACACGATTATATTAAAAAAAAGTCTTACCGTTATTAGCACAACGATCTGTCGTACCAACAGAATATTCGACATTATCGAGTCGAGTATCACCGACAAAACGCGTTACGTTATCGACGCGGTGATCTGAATCTAACGATGTTTCTTTTCTTTTTTTTTATTTTTTACCACTTCCAACAAAAATAAGCAGCTGAACACTACACGAGTATAAAAGTACCTTAGGAAGAAAGTTAATCGGGTCTTTTTTTCTGCACCGTGTTAAAGCGGGGTTGTGTCACAAGATAATTAAGTACATTATTCTAGATCAACTTTAGAGGGAGCTCTGCGTGATATCATCCGTCGTGTCAGTTTCAGAGGTATTCCGTTTTCTCAACCTGGGGCATTGGTGCTCTCTATTCGTCTCGCACGCGATTCTTGCCTGCTCGTGAAGGGTGTGAGCCATCAATACGCCCGTGTTGTTCACCATCTCCGAGAAAATCCCGTTGGGTTTGTCGCGTAGCAGCTCGTAGGGACAACCAAACTCCTGTTCACGTAAACAAGTCATATATTGTGCTTGAAATCGCTACCGAATCTAGGTTTAGACGACAGAGATATGACAGAAAGGTAACCGTACCGCAATTTGGCCAGCGTCCATTACTATGATCTTATCGCTATCAATGATAGTGTTCAAACGATGAGCAACAGTGATGACGGTGCAGTCCGCGAACCTTGTTCGTATCGTCCTCTGAATTAAAGCGTCCGTACTAAAACAAAAATATGTTAACATCCAGTATCGAATTATCTGGTAATCATTGCTTGTACAAATACGCGATCCACTACTTTTATTTAACCCTTTCGACCCTTAGTGGTACATACAGCCAGCCCCATAAATATTCGTACCCTCTATCGAAGAAATTTGTTTAAGTTAAATGGTAGGTTTGATGTTTCCTACAGCCTTCGAATTCAAATAGGACACAGCCAAGTCGAAAGGTTTAAATTCGATTCATTATCTGTAAAGTTTCCCTTTCGAATTCCTGCAGAGGATTACCAATGTGTACATCTAAAATTTGTATCGAAGTAATAGTTACTGCGAGTCGATGTTAGCCGTGGCTTCGTCCAGAACGAGAATGCGATTGTTTTTCAGGACTGCCCTAGCCAAGCATATCAGTTGCTTCTGTCCGATGCTCAGGTTGCTTCCGCTGTACATGACCATTTGGTCCAGAGAAAGATTGTTCAGTTCCACTTGATGAAGGCTGTCCCACAGCGAAGCGTCGTCGTAGGTGTTCAGGGGGTCTAAATTGTATCGCAGGGATTGGG